AAATATGATACACACATAGAGAATATTATTCAGCCTTTAAAAAGAAGGAAATCCTGCCATTTGTGACAACATGGATGAACCTGGAGGACATTATTCTAAGTGAAATAAGCCAGACAGAAAGACAAATACTGCATGATCTCACTTATATGTGGAATCTAAACAAGTCAAATTCATAGTAACAGTGAGTAAAACAGAGGTTACTGGGACTGGGGGTTGGGCGATATAAGGAGATTCTGGTCAAAGGGTACAAAATTTCAGTTATAAGATAAATAAGTTCTGGGGACCTAATATACAGCATGGTGACTACAGTTAACAATAATGTATATTTAAATTTGCTAAGATAGATTTCATCTGTTCTTACCACACACATAAATCTAACTATGTGATATGGATATACTAATTAGCTTGATAATGGTAATAATCTCACAATGTATATGCATATCAAAACATCACACTGTAGGGGCGCCTGGGTGGCTCAGTCATTAAGCGTGTGCCTTCGACTCAGGTCATGATCCCAGGGTCCTGGGATCGAGTCCTGCATCGGGCTCCCTGCTCGGCGGGAAGCCTGCTTCTCCCTCTCCCTCTCCCCCTACTTGTGTTCCCTCTCTCGCTGTCTCTCTCTCTGTCAAATAAATAAATAAAATCTTAAAAAAAAAAAAATCACACTGTACACCTTAAATACATACAATTTTTATTTGTCAATCATATTTCAGTAAAGCTGGGGACAAATACATGACCCAGTCTCTCAATGTTCTGATCTATATTCTTAGGAGGCAGAGTCTGTCTGACTCAGCCTAAGTCAGATACACAGCTGGATCCAATCAGCGGGATGGAGAGGCGTTCCCATACTACCCTCTCAGCACTCTCTAATTGGCAAATTTTATAAAAGGGCAGGGCGAGGAGAGGGAGGAAATGAATGATAGAGGAAATGACTGGCATCTCAGCGTGTGTGTATGTATTTTTACAATTCCATTAACTCTCCACAGGTGAACCCACCAACAGCCCAACTCTAAACTCATAATATCTGTGGCCTCCAGCTCACCTGTATTTTAATCACCCTTCACAGAGTGAAGGCTATGCACACCCTTCACTCTGCTTGTAGCTCTCCCACACACAATGCTGTTTCCACAGCTAAGACTTGACACACAGTGTCCTCTGCCCTGTCTACCTTGGAAACATCTATTCCTCTCTCAAATCCTGTTGGGTTTCATCTTATGTGCTGTTCTTTACCCCCACCCCCTCCAAAATAAGTTACTCATATCTTCCTTTTTACTATAGTACTTCTTTAATTCTCACATATATTACTTCTGTTGTATATATTATATTGCACTGTGTTCATAAATTCTTATAGGAAGGAATGTCACCCAGTTCATCCTTATACCTCCAGAATTAAAAATACAAGAAGGTGCTCAACAATAATGTTCCAGCACATTGAACAAACTTGATTTCGGGGACTAACTGAAGGCAACTTCTTATTTTCCACTGTCCCTGTGAAAACACTCTGTAGGGGTTGGTTCTTCTCCCATTCCTGAATGAAAACTTGGGCAGTCCCATTCCTTTTACTGGTCACTTTTAGTTAAGTAAAGTTAATAACTGGGATGCCTGGGTGGCTCAGTCGTTAAACGTCTGCCTTCAGCTCAGGTCATGATCCAGAGTCCTGTGATCAAGCCCCGCATTGGGCTTCCTGCTCAAACCCCGCATCGGGCTTCCTGCGCAGCCGGGAGCCTGCTTCTTCCTCTCCCACTCCCCCTGCTTGTGTTCCCTCTCTAGCTGTCTCTTTCTCTCTCTGTCAAATAAATAGATAAAATCTTAAAAAAAAAAAAAAGAGGTTTTTATGAAAGAAAGAAAGAAAGAAAGAAAGAAAGGGAAGGAAGAAAGGAAGGAAGAAAGGAAGGAAGAAAAGAAAGAAAGAAAAAGGAAAGGAAAGGAAAGGAAAGAAGGAAGAAAGAAAGAAAGGAAAGAAGGAAAGAAGGAAAGAAAAGAAAAGAAAAGAAAAGAAAAGAAAAGAAAAGAAAAGAAAAGAAAAGAAAAGAAAGAAAGAAAGAAAGAAAGAGTAACTAAAATATCCAGTCCTGGGCACCTGGGAGGCTCAGTTGGTTAAGCAACTGCCTTCAGCTCAGGTCATGATCCTGGGGTCCTGGGATCAGGCCGCATTGGGCTCCCTGCTCAGTGGGGTAGTCTGTTTCTCTCTCTCCCTCTGCCCCTCCCTCTGCTGTGTGTGCTCTATCAAATAAATAAATAAAATCTTTAAAAATATATATATCCAGTCCTGTATAATAGTCACAATTTGCCACCTGACTTAAAGGCTTTCCTCCTCCTCCCAGTTTGTGCCTGCTACAGAGGGAAGCTTACATTTAGGGAAAGAGTGTGGCCACTTCCCTCTCCCTGACTTGTTTGTCTAACAGCACTCCAATAACTCCATTCAAATATCCTCTTTGAAACCCCTTTACCAGTCTTCATCTTGAATTTTTATGCCCTTGATATGGGTGAAAGTTCAAGAATAGTCTAATCAGTTCTCACCCTCCTATATATTGTGAAAGTCCTACAGAGAGGTCTGTCTGTGATATTTCTTGTCATAGAACCTCAGGCAGCACTCCCATTTTAACATTTTTATAACAGTTAGACTAAACTGTCACTGCTTGGGATTTTTCTTTTTCTAACTTTCAACATGTTTCCCCCCTTACCCCAAGTCTCCTATCCTCCTACCCTATTCCACTCGTCACTTGGGCATATTCTGCTATTCTCCTACTTCATAAACTTTGACTACTGACCCCTGCAGTCTGAATCCCTCTTTCCTTATCTAGCCAATGTTTAGTCATTTCCCCAGTGCTCTTGCAGGGGACCAGACAAACTAATGTGCTTCTCAAGAAAAGGGACCCAATTAAAGACAGGCTACCCTATATGGCAGAAGATACTCCTGGCCATTACTGCTACATTTGGGTCTAGGCATCCAAAGACTCAAGTAGCATGTTGGTTTCAACCTCTGAATCACTTATAACCCTAGAAACCAGAGTTGTCCTACTAGAAAGTCACTTGTCATTTAGAAACTCAAATCCCTGACCCAGACATGCCATTCCTCCTGTGCCTAGAGATTCTCTATTCACTAAAAGGTTACAAAAACAGGCTTGCCTCTCACCTTTCTTATCTGTTAGTACCAACAAAACTACTGTGTCATCAGAACAGTTACAACAACCCTGATAGGTTTCATTGTCAATGGCCTGCTGCACATGCTTTCCCACAAGCACCTTCCCACTGGAGAAGAACACCGTGATGCCATGGTGCCCCTCCCCAACCAACAGAGCAGAGCCAGCTGTAAAAGGTTGCCCCACCCCACTATGGATATCGTCCCAAGATTCACCACATGGTAAAGCAATAAAGACATCATCATCTGTGTTGCCTGTGCTAGCTCAAAGGATCAACTTGGGAGGCTCAAAGTCCTCCATCTCTATAGCAAGGCCCATATACTGCTGGGGCCTGTATTAATGACCTCATCAACTGCCTATCCCAAACCCGGAAGCTTACCACATTCCTATCACAGTGGCCTCTTTTCCTGAATATAGCTCACTATGCCTTACTCATCTGCCCATCTCAAGCACTAGCCTTTATTCCTCTAGAAATTTTTCAAATATATAGCGATACAGATAGATGGTCTTAAACCACAGGTCTAATTTTCTTCTTCTAGAGGGAACTTTTTTTTTTAAGATTTTATTTATTTATTTGAGAGAGAGAAAGATAGTTAAAGCAAGCACAAGCGGGGGTGGAGGGTGGAGAGAGGGAGAAACAGGCTCCCCACTGAGCAAGAGCACGATGCGGGGCTGGATGACAGGACCCCGGGATCCCTGAGCTGAAGGCAGACATGTAACCGACTGAGCCACCCAGGCACCCTAGAGGGAACTCTTAAAGTAGTCGTTCTAACTTTAGTAGCAAAATGAAGAGTTTTAAAAAATACTGATTTCAGGCTCCAGTACCAGAGATTCTGTTTTAATTGATCTAGGGGGCAGGCTGGGCATTTTTTAAACCTCCCCAGGTAATTCTAATGTGAAGGCAAGGTAGAGAACCTGTCTTAAATACAGATGGCTTTATGCTACATAGAGCTTCCATATTTGAGGGGCAGATGGCATACATAAATGTGGGAGGCTCAGGGAAGAAACTTTCATTTGTTGATCATAAATTATATATCAAGTTCTATGTAGTAACTCGTGCAGCCTTCTAAACAGTACCACATTTCATCTTTACAATCATCTATGAGGTAGGCACTGTTATCCTTATTTTACAAAGAGGGAAACTGAGGCACAGGGAAGTCACGCAGAGTAACTGGCATAACCAACTGAGGCAAACCCCAGGTCTTATTCCCAATTCCACACACTTTCAGTGACACCATATTGAGATGTCATGCCTTCTTCGGCTAGATCCCAGAAATCCAATTCTACTACATCAATGAATTTTTTTCTGGAACACTGTCCCATGAATGGCACACTAGAGCCCAGCTACTAGGCTGTATATTAGGCTGCTAAAATGGAGTGAAGGGCTCCAAGGGAGAACTTCTTGACTGGGGACTACCATGTCTGGGTCTTTATTGAAATACTTCCATTTAAGAATTAATACCTGGATCCTTTGTCCATCATTGTTAACTTAAATCCTGTGGCTTTCTATATTTAGTTTTCCTTACAGATGAAGCTATATTACCTACCTACAAACCACTGCTTTGGTCGGCTAGTAAAATTATATGCTCCATCCCTCCTCCGCCTTGTACTCCACACAGTACACAAAGAATCAACATATAGTGGCTAAGCTGCATAAAACTGCTGCCAGTATCAAGATGGACTCTGATACCTAATGAACTGGGAAGCTAGAACTAGAAGTAGGTCTTTTTGTAATGCACCAGTGGTATGTCTAAGGGACTTGGTAACTAAATTCCACTATTTCGCTCCACGAAATCCACATTTCATTCTGGCTGAGGTATAGAGTGGATGGGAGGTGGTAGGAACCAGAGGACTTACTGGGAGAGAGCACTTCAGGTGTCTGGACGGTACCTTTCAGATGTTGCAGGGCAAAATCCAATGCTTGTGCAGGTGTCCCCTGTACCCTGCAAAAGAGGTAAGATTAGTCAGTTCTCTCAAGACAGTTCCCAAATTCCTGACTCTTGTGACCTTAAACCATTCTTTCTAATCCTAACCTCAGCCCGTGTTCAGAACTATGGCTTTTAGAACCCTCCTTGTTCCACTCATTCAGGGACTTCCCAATTTTCCCCTTACAAACCATGCCCTAATCATTTCTACCCTTCTGTTTACAAACATACATAGGTTCACACTACTTTAAGGAACTTTTTCTACTGCCAACAGTTGCATTTCTAGTCTCACCCTCCCGTGTGCTGTATAGTTACTGCCTTCATTTCTCTCTCAAATTTTCCCATCTTCTCCTTCCCACTGAATTACCTTAGTTCAGCACAGTCTCCCTGAGTCTCCATTAAGGAAAACAAAACCAAAAACAAAAACAAAACCTGGCCCCTCAGATTTATTCCTTCAAGTCGCTCCCCGAGTTATCTTTCCAAACACATAGAAGGCATCATTCTCATTTTAAAACCTGGATCCGCTCTCCCACCCCCACTCCTATACTACTGGATTGGCTGAAACTACCTCTCTCACAGAATTCACGGCCACTATATAGTAACGGAAAGAAGGGACGACCATGCAATCATGCACAGTTGTGACGGCAAAGTCTCGAAGAATGTAGTGTTGTGTGCTTGAAGCCCTCAGACCTTTCTAGAGGGCCAGATTTCGTTCACTACCAAGGCGGCAGAAAGTTTCAAAACTCGCTCGCGCCACAAAGGATTACTCAGGGGCATGCGCAAACGTAGCCTCGGAGGTTCCGCCTTAGGCTCGGGCAGATCTCGCGTGGCTTGGGGAAGCCTCAGCCTAGGACTTTTTCTGTAGCGTAGTGCGGCCTTTCCCCTCCCCCCAACCCCCAACCGGGGTGGATTTGTGCTGTAAACAAATAAAGGAGATCAAGACTCCGCGGCGAGAACAAATGAGGCTGGAACAACTAGCCGACGCGCTAGCCGCAGTTCTCGGGGACGAGGAATTCTGTCTGCAAGGCCCCGAAGGCCGCGCCCGTTCCTCAGAAACAAAAGCCAGAAATAAGTAAAAACAGAAAAAGGCAAGCACTTTATCACCTTAAGCAGCAGCGTTTTGTTCTGGTTTTCCACTTTAAGCTTTACGAAAAAGCCCCCAGTGGCTACCAACCCATCGGTTTACCCTCCTGCTGTCAGTGCGCCTGCGCGGCGTTTGTTTACCAACTCGGGCGACCGCTCAGTCCCGCTTCTCGGGCGCTGGCGTTTACGGTCTTGATGTGTAATTCATAATGGAAGTCCTGCTTTCAGTCAGGAACACGGACTGGAGGTTAAGAACAGGTCATTTGAAGTGTTAAGTCCGAAACTAGTGAAAATACGAACGGTAATGAAAACCCTGAATATTCAGAAACCGTTGCCTTGTCAGACCTGCCGTGGAAGGCGCTAGCACCACTGTAACCATTACTAAGAAGTGGCAAGCAGCAACCGTAAACCCAAAAGCGCAGGTAGTATTTAGGCACTTATGCAAAATGTGTACTCTGTTATGGAAGAGATGCAAATAAGCCTCGCCCGAAAGCCGTCTTGTTCGAGCAAACCCCGAGCAGTACCTGCATGATTAAGACTGACTCTTGAAGCAGAGGCAAAAAGGCCGCCATGCAAATTTTGAAACTAAAAAGGGGTAACTCTAGAAGCAATCGCCATTAAAAGCACAGAGCAACAAGCAAATTTTAAGAGACGGTTTTAGGTTCCCATCGGAATCCATTTCCGATGGTTGAGAAGTCTATGATACTTAGAAAATGAGATCTGGTAGAACTTAGTGTAATAGATTTATGACTGAATCTGTTTGAAAACACACAAAACAAGGCAGGCAAGCTGATTTTTTTTAAGTATCTTTACGGAAGAATTTCTATTGATGCATTTTAATGTGCTCAGAAACAAACACATAACTGGTAAATTCAGCTAAACCTGAATCTTTGTCTTAGAATTGGATAAAAGCATAGATGTTAGCAATTGGCTATTTGTTAAGTTTTGAGGGATGAAGACTTGGATTTGGGATAGAAGAAAATTTCTACAAACGAAGGTGAGATTTTCAGGTAGCAGGAAATTCAGTAGAGAAAATGTATGGACATGTGTGCAGGTGGGGCCAAGCTTTGGACATTTGCAGTATGGTTCACATAGAGCCTTCACCTTAAAAAATTAGCCTCTGGGGGCGCCTGGGTGGCTCAGTTGGTTGAGCGTTACTGGGGTGGTGATCTTGGGGTTTTGGGGTCATGGGGTCTGGCCAGGTAGGGCTGCACACTGGGCACTGGAGACTGCTTGGGATTCTCTCTCTCCTTCTCCCTCTGTTCCTCCCCCCAGTCCCTGCTCACATGGTTGCGTGTGCTCTCTCGCTCTCTCTCAAATAAATAAATAAATTAGCCTCTGGAATATTCTTATTATGTTCAATATGATAGTAAAATTTAGTAAATCTGGTAGTTTAGATACTTTTTAAGGCATATTTGTACCAAAGTCAGAAGTGACTTTAAAATCCTGCTCTGTTATCTAGAAGTACACTCATTTGGTTGAGGAAGGTGATAACCAGTTTTTTAAGCCAGGATTGAATTGACATTTTCTTCATGAAGGGAAAGAAATGTAGATAAGGTGAATTGATTCTTTGTTCACCTTAATGATTAAGACTGACTCATAAAGACGGCGGGCTTACTTTGTCAAGGCAACCAACAACTGTAAAACAAACTGAATACTTTTATTGCACTGGATGAGATGGCTCTAATGAAAATTAAGTATGGGAATTGGATGAAGAGTTGATAAAGAACTGTGAATCCTTTGAGACGCTTGGTTTGTTTACATGTGATAAAAATGTCAGTGTAAGACTAGTAAGTGGTCAAATAAAACTTCATCTTTGTTCACTGAAAAGCTTTGATGAGTAAAAGAAAATCACAAATGGATTGGTTACCTATTTAGTCTGTCATATGACTCAGCAGGAAATATACTTACCAAAATTTCCAGTCAGTAGCTGAAAAAGTGACCCATACCATTTTTTTAGCAGCATTCTGGGCACACTGTCCTGTTATTACCCTGACACTACAAAGCAGTAAAAACAAACAAACAAAACTGCTGCCATTTTTATCCACATATTTATGTGAATCTGGGTTCTTGAATTATTGTGACCCCGAGACAAATAAGAAATTGCTAAACAATGAATCTGATATGCATTACCAATTACTCAAAATTGGTTGAATCAACACAATATAATCTTATTAACTGAGTCATGGAAATTTTTTTTCAGGATAGATAACGTAAAACGTTTTTTAAAGTATTAAATACATATATAACAGGCAAAGTGCAGTGTTTGTGCATGAAACCTTAATGATAAGGGACTTCAAGGAAATTTTGCTGCTGCTTCTAACTCTGCACTCTTTTAAGTGCTGGGAGTAATTACAGGACTCTTGTCATACCTAAAGAAAGAATGTTCTCATCAGTTAGCAAGGGAGGGATGGGAGAAAAAAAGGTGAACCTCAGTTGTGAATATTAAGCAAAGCACATTGAGGACATCTTCTCTGCCGAAGCACCCTTCCTCCTGCTAGGGAACTCTGCCCCAGCCTCCCTCCCACCCCCATATTTGCATGGCTAGCTGCTTCATTGCATTTTCATCTCTAATAAAAGATGCCTTTCTGTTCTGCCATCCTCAACATATTAAAGAGTCTTCTATCATAGTCACAAGATGGCTGCCATAGCTTCAAACATCATGTTCTTGTATCAAATGTTTCAAACAGAAAGAAAGGGATATGGCAGGGGGAAGGGGGTGCTCAGCTTTCTCCTTGTGGCCTGTCTCTTCTTATCAGGGTGAAAAATTTTCCCATATGACTTCACAGACTTCCCTTTACATTGCTCAGAACTATATCATATGACTACCCATGGCTGAGAGGAAGGCTAAGAAAGCATGTACAGGAAAAACAAGTGTTCTTTAAAATGGTACACTAAGGGTGCCTGGGTGGCTCAGTCATTAAGCGTCTGCCTTCGGCTCAGGTCATGATCCCAGAGTCCTGGGCTCAAGCCCCGCATCGGGCTCCCTGCTCCGCAGGAAGCCTGCTTCTCCCTCTCCCACTCCCCCTGCTTGTGTTCCCTCTCTCACTGCGTCTCTCTCTGTCAAATAAATAAAATCTTAAAAAAATAATAATAAAATAAAATAAAAATAAAATGGTACACTAAAAATAACAGGACTTTACAGAAAATATATAGGCTTAGGAGCAGACCTATGCAACGTTGTTACCTGAGGACAATAAAAGTTACTATGCTAATAAAAAATAATACCAATTAAATCTTCACTGGCATATGTGTTCAACTTCACAGTCATCCTTTAGAGCTATGCTGCCCAATATGGTATCCATTAGCCACGTGTGGCTCTTGGGCATTTAAATATGCTAATCCAAATTGAGATGTTCTATAAATGTAAAATATACAACAGATTTCAAAGACTTAGTAAGAAAAAAAGAATGTAAAATAGCTCATTGATAGTTTTTATATCGATTACGTGTTGAAATATTTCACCTGTTCCTTTTTACTCTTTAAAAATGTGGCTACTAGAAAACTTAAGATTACATACATTTCTCATATTTCTATTGGATAGCACTGCTTTAGAAACTTTAACCCTGGAACACATGCTTCCTTCTTGTACATATAGATCTGGAGGACATTTGCTTCCAATTAAAAGCAGTTTCATCAAAATTAAAAATATGATCCAAAGGGCGCCTGGGTGGCTCAGTCAGTTAAACGATTGATCCTAGGGTCCTAGGATTGAGCTGGTGTCTGGCTCCCTGCTCAGTGGGGAGCCTGCTTCTCCCTCTGCCTGCCACTCCCCCTGCTTGTGTTCTCTCTCTGTCAAATAAATAAATAAAATCTTTAAAAATATATATATGATCCAAGATTTAGCCTTCTCAATCAGTGCCCCCCCCAAACACACATAGGAGAAACTTTCATTTACACTGTGCAGCTTCACCATTGTGAAAGCTTAAAGGTTCTTAAAGATCCAAACAAGCCTCTATTTGCACTAAAGAAAGGCATTCCTGAGGAATTGTTTGCTTTTTTCTTAAAGTCTTTATATTGCTAAGGTTTTCTACTTGATTGTGAAAAGGCTTGCCCCTGATCACTTCAAAATGTAAGTATGCCAGGAGATATAATGAGTGAACCAATGTAATTTCTGAATTATATTGACATTATTTCCCCCATTTACCAATTGCGTATGCGCTAATAATGACTCTATCTGGCATGCAAAGCTTTTATGGTGAGAGATAAAATTGCCACTAGGCAAAAGGGAGAGAGAATTTCAATCCTATATTTTTAAAGGATTGGTATATGATTATGGGCTATCTTGAACAGTGCCAGTGAACAATAACAGGGGAATAGGATAACTTATTTTTTTTAAGATTTTATTTATTTATGTGACAGAGAGAGAAAGCATAAGCACGGGGTGTGGGAGAGAGAGAAGCAGACTCCCTGCTGAGCAGGGAACCCGATGTGGGGCTCCATCCCAGGACCCAGAGATCAGATCATGACCTGAGCTGAAGGTAGACGCTTAACTAACTGAGCTACCCAGACACCCCTAAGATGACTCTTCTGGTTACCAAGTTAACATTTAGTAAATTGTCCCATTTGATTAGCTCAATTACCACCCCCCACACCCAGTTAAAATCCATTGAGGTTTTTTTTTTTTTTAAAGATTTTATTTATTTATTTGACAGAGAGAGACATAGAGAGAGAGGGAAC